TGGGTTTTTTTGTTTTTTTGTTTTTTTTAATTTATTTTTGGCTGAAGAGGTTGGTGGCACCAACGCCACACAAAACCTTTTATGATTTTATTTGTTGCTGGTGGTATTTAGTATTGTTTGTTGTTTTGTTTGTTCGTAAGCTATGCCTATGAAAAGCTCTGATTCTGTGCTGCCAGAATGCCTGTAGAAAGCTTTGTGACTGCTTTGCATCAAATTTTATTTTCTCATAGGTGATGGTGTTTTTCTTTGGGCAGGGCACAACCACACAGATAGCATACTAAGGTGAGCCTGGGGTAAGTACACCAAGAGTTGACATTTGTCACCTGCTGCTACCACGAGGCAAAAAATGGCATTCAGGAGGCAGTGGTGAGAGCATGAGCATGTGCTTAAACAAAGCATTTTCTGAAGATGTATGCAATTTTCTGTTGCGGTGGCTTCTTTCAATAGCCTCTTCCTGTCATCATGCTGCTAAGCTTGTAGTAAACACTGTCACCCCTTTTGTAACATTTTATAAGCTCCTTTCCACTTCAGCACTAAGAAACTCAGCTCTACTCTCTCCAGGTATTCCCAGTTGGTTCATAATGTCTCTCGTCATTCTCCTGTAATGGTAAGAAACTGTTCATTACTTCAGATCAAACTGTGCCTTTCAGGCTGGTTATAGCACTGTGAATGGTACTCCAGTGGCTTATTTGATTGATGAGTTGTAATAACTGCTTTTGGATGCCTTTGTTGTGACAATAGTTCTTCAGCTTCATCCATGTATAATAAATAGCCTAACAAACACGTTATTTCATTTCTTTATTAAGTCATTAATTACACTGCACATTCTTTAACTGCATCAGAAGAGTTTCTGGATAAAACCAACTTACTGTCATCATTATTGAGTGCACTACTCTTACATGGACTACTTGGAAGTAAATCTACACGTAACAGAACGTGCCCAACACCACCACAGTCTTTCACTTAACACTTATAGTCAAATCACATTTTATCTAACCTGGAACCATCTGTTTTGGTTATAGAAAGATCAAAAATTCTTTTAAATGCCTTTGTCATGGATTAAGAGAGAACATACGGGCCACAAGTAGAAGTAACCTAAATGCTGTATTTCTGTAAAAATGGATGAACCCCAGAATTTTCCTGAGTTTCAATCAGTTTTAACAAAGAGAAAACATAGAGAATACAGACAGTACAAACACAGGACAGCTTTTATATTTAAACACATGCCATTCAGCTAGTCAAAAAATTATTCAGACACCACCATTTCAAAGGCGTATTACTGACATATGGTGTCTGACATGTTTCCACAACTGAGTACACAGGCTTTGATGACAACCATGAAAATCACATCTTTCCATGTGAGCAGTTATCAGAGAAACAGGCAAATGAAGACTTAGCTTGGGGTTTTATATTCTTACCGATTCTAAAGGACTGCAAGAACCAAGGTAAGTCTTCTGGCTTTTCAAAACACAGGCGTCCTTTGCTTCAACCACTCCATACCCTGTTCCTCACCTCACAATGGGACCCCACAAACAGCAGAGCATAACTGCTGCTGCTATTGAGCTGTTCTCCCAGAGGCAGCAAACAGACTCAATTAGACACAACAGGCTATTCCCAGGGCTAGTCTCCAACCTGACAGTTTGAGATCCTTGGCATATGGCTTGTGGTTTCATGGTGTATGGAAGGTTACTATTTTGTTATAGGAAAACTAGGTATTAAAGCCTCTTGTGGCACTGAGTCAGGTTAAGACAGGGCTAGATACTCAAGTATTCTAGCCCTGTCAGGACTTAAGGATATCTTAGTGGAAAAAGGCTTCTGGCTTTGCAGGCCAGAATCTCAAGTACCAAATAAGAGGTTGACAAAAAATCCCTCACCCCTCTAACTCATATGTGGGCTTAGAAGGGGTAATTGAGATTTTTGCTTTAGCCTTCACTGCCCAAATTTTGTTTACATTCTCAAGGGAGCAGTTGCTCAGCTCAGAGCCTATCAGAGCAACAATAAAATAAGCAAAGGCAATACTGAAATTTACACAGACACCAAGTTAGGAAGGCCAGGCTGTTGACAGAATGCTGTGCCATCATATATAAATAAACAAACAATTCATTTATAAAAAACTAAACATCTGCACAAAACTAAATTAGCGCAACTGAACTCCCTTCTCCCACTACTTAATTCGCTTGTCCTAAATAAGTATTTTTCTCTATTAAATAGTAACATACTTCTCCACTGGGATGTGCCAGAGTCTAGCAGTTCATTCATCATTTTAGGCCTCAAACGCCAGTCAGCTGAGGAGTGTTTCCCTATGACTACACTAAATTAGGAACATTTCCAAAGCATTATTCTTTCTCTGGCCCTTTTCAGAGTCTATTCCAGTACCCTTGCTGGTCCCACTGATGCCTGGACAAGGCTTTCAGCTCATAGCTGGCTCATATCCCACCACACTGCAGCACAGCAAGCAAGCTGTCCTCCCTCTGTAGGGACAAACAGACTGTTGCTCAGCTCAAGATGCTGAAACACACTCACTGGCATTCAGTGTAAAAATGTCAACTCTTGCAATCAAACCTGCAATTCACTTTGTGTTTTCTGTACTTGAAGTCCCAAGCTTTCTCTTTTTAAGTAAAAATACTGTTAACATACATAGAATTTCCATGGTTTATTTTATCAGCCTGTATTCTCACTGGTGTAAAAAAAGAAAGAAAAAAGGGCCGTATATTTTCTTTTAGTCACCAGTTGGTCCTCCTTTAAGGACCTTGTAAGACATTTTTTTTGTGTATTGTTTCTCTGCATATGTGGGCAGCTTTACTACTTCATCCCCCTCAGGACCACTTAACAACATCAGCAAAGCAATTAAGTGTAGTTTTCAGGAAAATGCCAGAGGCATTACACTGTCTGGATGGGAGTCTCAACCCAATTATTTTCAGCTAGTTGTGAACTGTGGAAAGTGGACTTTACTTCATTATAACTTCAGTTCCCACTGATTAAAAGTCTAGTGTGTTACAGACAGTAAGGAAAAATGAAAACAATTAAACTTTCCGTCAATAAAATGGCTGCATATTCTTCAACATAGGAGTTTACTTCTCTCTAGAGAAGTGATTAAAATGAACTGATTGAACTATAATTTGATTGACTGAAGAGCCTCAATCCATTGCACTAAAGCTTAAATTCCATCTTATTGCTCTATTTAACTCTGAATATAAAAAAAAAATTACTTGCAGTGTCACAAACCTCTTACACAGTCATCCAGTTGAAATTTCTTACTACTCACAGGCTGTGGTAGATTCTGTTCCTTCTCTGCATGGTTCACAATAGACTGATGCTGAAAAGTGACAAAGACCCTTAAGAAATGACATTAATATAGCTTTAAAATCTTCGTCTTGTACCTATCACATAATCGTCATTTGGGGATTCTAAACTCAACCACAGATTGAGTTGACCTAAGACAATGAAAAAGAATGATGTTCAGGTTATCTACAGCTGTTGCAGCAAGAAAATAATCTCCTCATGAAAACCACAGCCATGAGGAAGCCTCCTACCACAGATCTGCCTTCAGCAAGGTGTAAGGTTGCCAGATGCACAGGTTTGTTTGCATACATACACATTCCTTCAAGGAGATACTAAAGAAAGAGGCACATTTAGCCTGGTTTCAGTGGTAAATTGTGTTGGCTAAGAATCAAGATGCCTAGGATCTCAGGCAAAGATCATTTTCTTTGGACTCAGGGCAAATTTCTACAGTGTTTATTCTACAAGACTATCATCTACAGCTGAGTAACTGTTCTGCCAAATTCTGGGACTCCTGTTGCACTAACAAAAGCTAGTCAAGAAACATTAAGGCATGCATGCTTTCATTGACAAGCTACTATGATATCGAAAATACCCAACTTAGCATTCACCACTCTGAAAATTTAACTGAAATGGCATTCCGCTTTAGAAGGTTGCCACTCTATTGGTTGACATTTTATTTCTTTAGTTCATATTTGGAATTAAAATACAGCATTTGAAATACAGCTGTACTGCAGTAAAATTGAATTGGAATATATTATAGCTTTAAATTAAATTATGTTGGTAATTAAGTGAATGAGGCTGGGTAGGATGAGCAAATAAAGATGGGCAGCAAGCACTGGGCTAAATTCTTACATGCTTCCTTTCACAGGCAGCTCGAACTCCAAAGGAAGTCAGTAGATATTTTTCTATTACCATCAGCATGAACTGGGACACTGATCCATGAGCTGTAGTACTTTGTTGCTGAGCTCAGTCTGCTGTAGAGCTTTACTCTTCTGGCTGTGACTGACCTACAACACTAGCTCCACAAGCAAGCCATAGCTCTAACACAAACAGTTCCAACCCTTAGATTCTGCCAATCCCAGCATTACAGGGATTTCTGACCACACTCAAGAGTTACTAATTCACTATACTGTTTGGTTTTATTATGCGTAGTTCATACCACAAACATGAAATTCTCCAAGTTTGTTAGCCAAAAGCTACCAAGACTGCACTGGAGTCACTAAGGGAATATTGCTGCACTAAGGTAAAATGCTGCCTCTACCATTGAAGGTCCACTTTTGACAAATTACATAACTCTTAATAGCTGCCTTGCATTACTGGCCTTCTCTTTTGTTTCTCCCTTCATTCTGATTACCAAATGCTATGTCATTCTCTACTCCACCTCAACATCTGTAACTTTGAATGACAGATACACAATAACAGGAAAGGAGACAAGGGCAAATGCTCAACCACAAATTCCAGGGTGCCTCTGGAGACTGCAGGATATTTGCTACATTCCCTGTTCCCAGTTTTACGCTACACACACCAGAAGCACATAGGGCACCAAACAGCCTAAATGCCTATTTGAACCTTTCAGTTCTTACATAGACAGATACACTCACAGTTTACAAACCCACCTTTATCTGCATAACAGCTGCATAAGAAAGAGCTGTGTTTGAAGTCATTTATTTTCTTGCAGAACAAGAAACATTTTTGACAGCAAAAAGACAAGCCCCAAGCGTGAAAGTAGCCTCAAGTCTTCTCTTTTTCTGAAATTATAAAGTGGCATTTATTTGTCTTTCATAGTGCTCCTACAGCCATGGTAGCAAACAGCACATGGGCAGGGTTTCTTACTGTGCTGACAGAATGGTCATGAGTAAGCTGAGCAGCATGCAAACAATGTCAAGATGAGGGCAGGACAGGGCCTTCTTCCAAGTCCAACCTGTGAGAGGCAGATGAAGGATTAAGAGGCATTTCCTGACTCAAGCAATTGCTTAATATATCCCCCTCCCTGGAAAGCATCATCAACTGTATGGTTAGGAACTTGCCAACACTTCCACCAAACTACACTGGACATCAGGAGAGAAAAAAAAAAAAAAAGAGATTCAAGTGGGTTTGATGCACTTCCTGCATGCAGGATCAGCATTTTCTCTTTTCAATATCAAGTTGATTTCAAATATCTGTAATTATGAAAACATATTAAAATGTATTAGCCAGTAGATTTATGTTTGAAAGGTGCCATTTTAATTAGACAGGCCACAATTCTCAGTTTTTGAGCAAATGTGATTACTGCAATTTCTTCATTGAATTATAGCTTCGCTACTTAAGAAAACATTATTTAAAGGGCAGTGTTAGCCACCTACACCACACTGATGAAAATCTCAGCAAAACATAAGGAAACACTTGAATACACTCTTCCTAGCAACCAAGGTCTTTCATCAGAAAAGCAGCATATTTTATTTGTTGATTTGTGGTGGTGTTTTTTTTTTCTTTCCTTGAACATTATATTTCTAGCTTGCACTCCCTCAGCTAATTCATCAAATCCCTGGAATATACTTTTCAGTGAAAATGTAAGCCATTGACAAAGCCACCTTACTGTTTATGTGCTAAAAAAAATTAACTGAACTTTTTTTTCCCCAAAATCCATATTCGAGTGCTTGTGTCATCACTATTTATGTGTCGCACTGTGGCAGTGAGGCCACATTCTCAGAATTCTGAGCATCCCTGACTTCCGCTAACAGAAATACCAAGAGGTTAATTTTCATTACTAATCTTCTTCACATACACTGACCTGCTGTATTACTTCCTAAAATTAACAGCAGTATTTTAAGTAATGCTGAATTTCTACAATTCTTACTGAGTAGAACATAGAGATATCAAATACTTACCTGAATGTTGGTCTGTCTTTTCAGGCTGGGACAACTTTGATGTTGTTACTTAAGAAATGGTTATTTTGGATCTCCTAAGTACTTCATAGAATGCTGGAGATCCAATTAAAAAAAAAAAAAAAAAAAAAAAAAAGAAACCCAGACCTGTTAAGTTAAATATTAAGTAAAAATGAGCGCACTTTGATAAAGAAAAACAAAGACTGCCATTTTGAATAGGTTTTTCCCAACAGACAGTACCATTTCTTCCATGATGTACCACCTCTTTTCTCCTACAAAAAGAACTGTTTTTAGGAGAATTTTCTGCTTCTGTATATGCCTTCTTTTCTTACCTAAGGGTTTTTACTCCTATATTTCTTTCTTTCTTGTAGGAGGCAGACCAATGGTTTTGTCACTAACTCTTCAAGAAAATCAGAGGAGCAAAATGGGAAATCTGTCTTCCATGGAAAAGAGGAAAGATGCTAAGGGACAGGATGTATCCTCCTTGACATAATGTGGTCAAAGAGCCAGCTTCCTCACTTCTCCCTAAAGAGCTCTCAGACAACTGTCTAGAAAAGCGCACAGTGTCCCCAGCTGTTAACAGCAGGATATACTGCAGCTCTCTAGACTGCTGCTGCCATGTCGTTTCTGCGCCTCCAGGGTCAGCTTAGTGTATTAAATTAACAGTTTTCCCAGGCAAGGCAAAATGTCTGTGAGCAGAATGGTGCAGCATAATAATGGGATACGAGGGGAAGATACCTCCTGAAATATTAGATGTTTTGGTAAGAGCAGGAAACATTGAAGTGATTCTGACTTACATGGCTTAGTGCCAAACAACATGTTATCATGCAGAAGTCCCAGCACAATGTGCGTCTGTTTACCACCACTTAACATTTTCATAGCTCATTTTAGAATTGTTGCTTTTTTTTTCCACCCTTAATAATTTATGAGCTCAGAATTATCAATAACGTGAAGCTTCATTACAAGCTATCTGGAGGATTCTCATCTGACTCTTCCCATTAAATTATTATTCCCAAACATGATTTATATTTGATAAGACATCAACTGGACATCAATAAAATAATAATTAATGAACTATATCTTCATGGAAATACTGAGCTTAAATACACAAGCAAATGCAGTGTGCAGTCTGCAGGTCAGCTGTCAGATCTCTCTGAGAATATTTGTCTGTTTAGTATTTAGAATATAATAATAAACCACAAAAATATTTAATTGCTATGGTCGTCGGCTAGTTGTTGTGACAGTTGTGAACTACGCCAAACTACGAACCTGTAAGGCAGAACTGGGAAGTAACAATGTGTTCAATGTAGGTGAGAAGGTAATCTCAAAACAGTACAAATGCTGAAGGGACTTCACATTTCCACAAAATGAAACGTTGAAAGAATTTTGGTTTGGGTAACTATCTGTTTGTTTGTTTTTTCCTTAACATTATCTATCGGATTGAAATGCTCTATTTCTCCATACAGAAAGTTAAAATAAAGAATTTTAATGACTGAAACTTCTGCCTAAAAACAAACAAACAAAAAAACCCACCACATTAAAATAGCTTAGCATTCAACAATGTTGTTTGGGTCTTCTGTTCCAACAAACTATCACTCCAAAGGACAAGCTTGACCAAATATTTGTATTCAGAAAGAAGTGACATTACTTCATCCCAGGGAATTTCAGCAAAGGCCCTTAATCCTATTGCACCTCACAGCTTTGCAGTAGTGTTTATCACTAATCAGGGACCACTTCTGCTTACATTTCCTCAACATACACAGATCCCACATGAATCTTAATGGAGGATGAGAAAGAACAGGAGTAAAAGTTTTTCTGGATTTTTTTCTTAATTTCTAGGGTTTATTTCTTGCTTTCCCTTACTGTTCAAATTTCATCAGGGATTGAACAAGAGCTTTAGATGGACAAGGTGACCACATTGTCAGTATCACACTTACCTTCGTCCCAGTTCATTAAGAAGCATTTAGCCCCTGCTCCCTCAGACCCTCACTCATGTAGGATTTACAAAAGGGCTTTAATTGCAGATCTCTGGAAGAAAGCCAGAAGACATTACCATCCTTCAGTGACAGCTTGATTTTTTTTTTTTAAATATTCATTGAATCTCCTTTTCATCCACAACATGTGTCTTTTTTAGATGCTCATGTCCGCTATTTGGCTTCTCCATTACACAGTCAAGGATTATAAGGGCAGCTGTCCTCTGGTATAAAACAAAAGGACATGAACATATCATGGTCCCATTTAAAACCTTAATGCCCCTTGAGCTTGAGATGCTTACAGCTCTACAGAGATGTGCTATTCAAACCCCAGCATAGAGAGGTTTCAGTTTAACTTTCCTAAAACATTAAGAGCTGAAGAAACTGTAAAAACATTCTGGTCTGACCTCCTACATCACGTTTTTTCTCAGTCACTCCCACCTTAATTCCCATTATATGCCTGAGTCAAACCCATCTTCCTGAAAGGCTTATATCTTATTCTGTAAATAAAAAAAATAAAAAAAAAATAAAAAAAAAAAATCAATTTTACCACCACATAATTACCTCACACTCCAAAGTACAATTGAGAAGCCCAATCGAGCTTCTCGGTTTGTCACTCCCACCTCCAGCCAATGATTTTTACTTTTCTCTGCCGCTCAGTGGTTTGGCATTCCCTAATTTGGTCCCTTGAGGGAGCTAGACACATCGGAGGTCGTAGCATTTCTACCATCCAGAAACATGCGAGCAATAGCACGCACACACGTACGTCTCTAGTATGTCTTCTTACCTTGAAGGACTCACCAGAATCCAAAACCAAGTACACCTGCTGTGTTCTCTTCCTCCTGAACACATCCAAGTCCATTCCTTTCTGAGATGCCTTCTCAGGGAAATGCTGGAAAGTTTAACATGGAAAGAATGTGCCTGTAGCTTTGAGACAGCTCTATTTTTAAAGCAACCAGCTTACCACATATTCCATTTTCTCCCACTTAACCAGACAAGTTTTAAAATAATCTCTCTTTTTTAAACACATCCACTCCAGACTAGTTTCACCACCTCATTCAATCAAAATACTTGCTAATTTTAATGGATATTTTTCTTGAGTAAGAAATAATATAATCTTTGATTTCCGAGCCTTCTTTACAATGGATTCTGTGAAAGTCAAAACAAATAACATACAGCAATTCACCTTTAGGTAGTGCAAAAACAGTCCCCAGAGTGATAGCTTTTAGTTCATCTCCAGTGAGAGCTGTATAAGCTGTAAGCTCTTCTATAAACACACCAATGAATAACAATCAGTCTCTTACTCCTCTCAGTCTCTCGTGTGACAGACCCTTAATTATGGCTATTAGATTATTACTTTCTCCAGAGAATTCTGTAAGGCAAAAGCAGTGTTCTTCTCCAGACATCAAAGACAGAATTAAGACCCTGCTTCGGAACACTCCTCAGAAACAGCTGCTGTTCATTCCCACTAAGGAATGCCCTGTTTGAGACAAAGGGCACAGCTGCAGCTTGCTGCCTCCTACTCTGTATGAGGCAAAAACTGATACTCTGCTTTGAAGGGAAAGATGCCCACCTAAAACACAAGGAAGCCCACCCCCTACTAAGCTCTGAAAAATTATTCAGATTTCTGTTATCTTAGCCAGACCTCTGTATCCTGCAAAGATCACCCATTCTCAATAAGTTCTGGACCAGCAAGGCTTGCAAAACAACAGCGCAAAAGCAGGACCACAAATTACGACTTTGTAGCAGAGAAAAGGGAATAGAAACCACCCACCTAAGGCACTGCACCACCAGCATCTATTAGTGCACATATCTTCTTTTTACGTGTAATATTTATTAGCTTCCTTCAGGGATAGCTCTGCATGCTCCCACAGTCAACTAGGAAGAACGTCTGACCCCAAGGAGAGAACAACGGGGCAGAATCAAGACTCAGGCTGGCACCACGCAAACAAATGATTCCTGAACACTTTATATGTAGGTAACACGAATCAATTCTTAAATAGTAATTACTAGAAAATTAAAGTAACTGCCTCTCAGGAGAATTACTGGTTAATACTATTATCTTCTGTGGGCACAGCAGATGAGAACGTGTGTTATGATAACCTATGTGGTTTAGGCTCATTTTGGAATACTGTAGCAACTTATTGCTAACCAACATCTTACAAGAGCACCAACATAAAAAGTAATGTGTGGCAATTTATCAGTTCTTAATAAAACACTGTGCTTAGAAGTTCAACTGTTGAAGCTGCTCTTGATTTTGATTCAGCTGATTTTTGTCTGGGCTCAGCACTATCGCTTATCCCTGCTTTTTCCGGGCTCCTCTAGGATTTGGCAGTTCCAAATCCTTACTTGATTGGACTTAAAAATAAATAAAAATTGGGAGCTGCTTATGCAGCACTGCCCCTATCTCTCCCCAGCCTGTGTGTGAAATTAACATTGGTTCAAAATGCTGGAAATGCAAATTTGCACATTAAGAGCATAGGTTCCAGGGCGAACATCACACTACCTGTGAATTCCACAACCTAAATGCATACTGTCACTCAATTAAGTGAAATCCAGGTAGCCTGTATGTGCCAAGCAGGTAAAGTATTTTCACATGAAACACATTAGTAAAGGTAAGTTCTTTCAGAGTTGCACAGACACATGGCTACTAAGCAAAATATAAGTACATTTAAAATGACTGCCAAAAATTGAACTGGTTCCATGCCTATACAATTGTAATTACTTAGGTGCTTCTACGGCACGACTGCATTTGAAGCAGAATATATCACACATCACAACTGTCAAGAACTGTCATAAGCCATTATGATAAACAAAGACGTGATCCTCAGTTACACACAATAGGTAACACTTCTGTGTGAAAGCTTCTCTGTCCAAATATCTCTTGCCTGCATGCATCAAATACTCTGTGAGATACATCCCTCAGCTGTGGGAGCTCAGCACCTTTCCACCAATTTAAGTCAACTAATTTGGATTGCTAAAGATAACTCTCATGTCATTCTGAGCTCTCAAAAGTGTTGTGAAATGGGACATTTAAACTATTTACCATAATTCTTGTTGCAGTTTAAAAGCTGCACAATATTTTTGATGAAGCTTTGTGATTCCAGAAATCCACTGTCTAAATGAAGGTCTGCTGGGAAAAGAAAAAATAGCCGATTTGTCACAAAAATCAATCTTCCACTGCCCAATTCCATTCTTAATGAATGAGACAATTCAGAAACCTATGGGAACATGCTTTATTGATTCATTCACAAGTCAGTAAAACCCACTGCCTGGGCTCCCTCCAATAAGACAAACCGCACAGTGCTTCAAGTGTACTGAATTGCAGGAAAAGCCAATGACTCCACATCTGTTCTGCTGGAAGTCCAGTGAGACTAAACATAGCCAATAAATCTAAAGGAGCACACCACTAGGTTAATGATAAATGTGTGGAGAAGACAAAGAGACTTGTATTTCCTCTTTATTATCCCTTCAGTTGAGCCACTGCCTTATCTGTAATTTATTTACCCAGGACAGTTGGGCCCAGATGCATACCTGTTTTTTTTTACTGAAGTACTTGTTTTTCTCCATTTTGCAGATGGATTAAATAAGCCAGGAGGAGGCCAACCTACATGTGTGAGGTCACACAGAGAACTGTAATCTACACTGCAGTAGATGCCTGAATCCATTCAAGTTCAAGACCTAATTTGGCATAAAGCTAGCGTGTAGCTGTACTGCACTGTATATTTTATAAACATATCTTTCAATAATCTCCTGTGCTTCTCATGAAAGCAATAACAAGCAGTAAGAACAGCTGAGTCTGTATTGGGCAAGCTTTCCTATTAAATTCCAGCAATACATCTCAGCTGTGACCTGTAGCAATTTGGGTAACCTAATAAGGCTGACTATCCCATAAGAATCAGGGATGATACACTGTCTACCCGCAAGATATGAGGAAGTACAAGAGAGCAACTTTACAGCAAGGATCACCTAGCAGAGCAAAAGTGAACCTAAAGAACAGGTCTAAGAAAGCACAGTAAGAGAAAACACATTACTGAGAACAGAAAATTTGTTTATGTAGTCCGATAGATACCACCATTTCAACATTCATTTCCAGCTCAAAACATCACATCTGCATGTCCTGTTTAATGGAGTATGCTAAACTGAGACTTCATACAGGGCTTTCTGGGAACTATAGTTAGTACAGTTATTCCAGTGCACGTTACCTGAAGTTAGGCATTTTGTCAGACTCCCCACCTTTTGCTAGAAATCCAAACGGTCTTCTGTCTTACGATGCAATAGCATTCAAAGAACTCCTCTAAAAATCATTCTCATATATTTGCTTCCTTTACGTGTGCATTTAGTAAGTGTGCACAGGTCCAGTCAGGCATATATTATCTCTACCTCAAAACTCACCTGTTCAGCCGTATTATGATTTCCCTCCCCTAGTGGTTCTAGTACAAACTTGCCTACAGAATGGCCTCAGAAAGTGGTCTCTGCTCTCGTATCTGCTGGATAAAAAAAAGCAACAAGCAATTTAGAGGAGGACAGAAGAATTAAACAATTTTTATGCACTTCAATGTTCCCCCTAATTCTAAAAATCAACCAAAAACTTCAATATAAAATTCACTTTTCCTTTAGAAACGTCTCTCAGCAGGGTGGTGCTCATAGCCGCATTGTCACTGTGTGTTCAAAGCCATCAGTATTCAGTGTGCTAAGAAGCAACACTGAATTCTGCAATCAGAGCTACGAAGTTTCAGAAGATTTCAGAATTTATGTGAATATAAATAGCTGTACTGAATGCTTCAAAGATTGAAAACATTGTAGAGATTTACATTTCAGTTTGTTTTGACAGATAAACAGACAAAAATATATTTTAGAAAGGAGCAGTAAGATTTCCACTGTAACACTTCCCATAATTAGATTGTAAGAGACACTGAAATATTTACATTCACTGTACTGAAGGCTTATGTCTCAGTTCTGCTTACTACTTGAGCTCCAGAAAAGCACTTAATTGTTTAACATGTACTACTGTGAGCCCCAAGCTTTCTGCAGATGTTCACACCCACCATCATTTTTCCCACCCTGCTCACTGCTCATTGTGTAGTGGAGAGATTCACATTTTTCAAAGGTTTTCTCTTCTTCTGAAACAGAAGCTAATGTTGCTTAGTGCTTAATGTTAAGCATTAATACACATATCAAACTAAAAACATTGATAAAACTTTCCTCTGAAAGGAAATGTAATTGGAAAGATGCTTTTTCTAACAGTGCTTCCTGTCCTCACTCCAAACGACTGAAATGTTTTTTATTGTTTTCTGTGTTCTCTCAGTACAGCATAATTTGTTTGAGTTCCAAATCCCTCATGAGTTCTGTAACCAACCTCGAGTGTGTTTCCAGGACGTAAAGGTCAGAGCTGGAGAAGACACAGACAGAGGATACAGAAGAAAAGTCTCAGAACCTCTTGCTTCAAATCCATCACTTTCATAGAGAAATAAAAAGACAGCAAAGTGCTCCTCTTTTAGAGGCAAATCAGCCATGGTGGGAACCTCTCAAACAACTGAAAATGGGCACTCCTGAAATCAAGGAGAGAGGATGGCTTTCCCAGAGAACTTCTGCATGGAGATTTGACTTCTGAATTTCTTGGATTTCTTAAATGAAAACCTTACACTGGGAATTCCAAACAACACAGCCTGTAATGTTCGGCTGGCGTTCAGGATTCAGTGAAATCTCCTGGGCTGTGTTCCTGGACTTGTCCCACCCCCACACTACAAAGATGCCTTTCTCAGCCAGCTCTCTGCCAACCAAGTTCCTGCTGCTTTGGTCTGAACATTGGTTAATCTTCCCCATACTGGCAGGCTCTGTTGCTGTTAAAGAAATCCCATCCAATCTCAGTCCCAGTGCTCCCCAGCTGCTTTATTCTCACTTTTACATTTTATACTTCTTATAATTACTTCTTAGGAATAACTGTAATACTAGTTAGCGGAACAGGTGTCATTACCAAGAACATCTATAAAAAGGAAAACCAGTATCCCACCAAACATACATAGCAGACGCACCTTCCAACATTAAAGCTCTGATTTGCAACCTGAAAGAATTCTCTGCTGCTTTTGTACAACAGGCTTAAGTTTCACCTTATTTGTTGTTGTCTGTTTCATCAAGGTCTTCCACGGTACAAATGTGATCACCAGTATGCTAATCACTGCATTAGACATGCAAATATGTAAACATTTGTGTGCCAAATTATTAAGTTTTTGTCTATAGTGTTATGCCCCTATTTACTATCTATCTTTTATGTCTTATGGATTTCCAAACATTTAGATTTATATCAGCGCTGTCACATATCTGCAAGCAGAGACAGTTTTACGAGCACTAAAAAAGCTGCAACACGCAGACACTAAATACTAATGACATAAATGGTATCCACTAATGGTCTCTATTTTTATTACAATGCAAAACTTCAATATATTGCAATTACCACTGCTCTCAGACTGAGCCATACACGGCATATAATGCCAGCTTCCATCTCTACAGCATAAAATGGCATTATTTGTTGCATATAGTTCAGCCCTGTACTGCAGATGTTGACTGAACGCTCAAGTCAGCAGTTGCAGCTAAAATTCACTCTATTTACTGAGTCTTACTGTTAACTAATACCCTAAATTGTCAGATATGCCAATGCATTAGACATTTTTCAAAGCCTACTGCACTAATAGCATGTAAGCGTAGCACGTCTTGTTGTACCTGTCAACAGCCCAGTAACTTTGCAAAGGTAAAACATGTCAAAAAATGAAATTATCTTTCTATGCGTCTGTCTTCAAAAATCTTCAGCAAGAGATTTTTTCCAAAATATTTCAATACAAAAGTGCACTTGACAAAGCTTATTCTCTTGTAAATGAGTCTCCATTTTAGCTTTTTAATGATAAATGTTACATTTTTTGTTCATAATTAGAAGAGTCTCTCCTTTTACAGCAGCTATCAGAGAGTGAAAAGTTTGTTCTTCAGATTTCAAGACAGTAGAAACCATGCATCAGTTACATCCATAAAACTGGGTGAAAAAGGAATATGGCAAAATCTCGTACAAATATTTGGGAGGAAACAAAACTGATTTCACCTACACTTTTTACTTGCCAGAAACTGTCACCAAAATGGAGCGCTAAGACTTTCTTGTATGTATTTATCTGGCATAAAACAAGCATAGTTACTCCTTTCCATTGACTTCAGCTGAGAATATCCTCCAGTAGGCTGGAAGCTTGTAAGAAGCAGCATTTTTCCTATTTCCATGCAGCTGGGTACTCTTTCACACAAGGAAAACACTGGAGACAAAGTAGGTGTCAGACTTGGTAGCATTTTACATGCATTTTCTGACACAAAGCAGACAACAGAAACGTGCACACAAAAATATTTCCCTTCAAGGACCAGCTAGTGAGAACAACAAAACCTAGTAAATCTGTATACTTATTATAGTTATCATATATTTCCAAATGATACTTGCCTTTAAAAACTGCAATGGAATTATTACTGTTAACTTTAACTGTGATAAACCACTCCACTGGAAGTTAGTATTTTCCTAAAATGTTCTCACTGGGCTTTGCATAAATCTAAGCATACATGACTGACTATAGAAGAATGACTGATGCAAAATCCATAAAATAATAATATCTAGAGCTTCCAACTGAGAATACTGATATGGTATTCCTTATTTTTCCCATCATATTTTCTCTGACAATAATATTGAATATGACAAGTGCTTTCTAATGTAATCTGTACCCACCTCAGTGTTCTAATCTTTTGACTGAATGGGTTTCTATCAGTGATCCTAGTTAACTGCCTCTGTTATGCAGTTACAGCAACAAAATTCCAACTGAAAATTCAGTGACAGTTTAATTTCAGAAAACAGGATTTCTCAAAAGAGCAAATACATTGATTTAAGTAGTTGGACGAAAATACAGGTTTTCAATATAAGTAAATATTTTAATTCATTTTCTCAACTGGAATTGAAAGTTATGGCTCATTTTCTCAATTCCAAATGTTGATTCTCTTCATTTGCAATCCTCCCAACACAACGTTAGAGTTGAAACAGTCTGATTGACTTTAGTAACATCAAAATGGAGAATTTAAGTACATGAAAAGCATTTTATTTTCTAACGAATTCCTTCTTTCTCTTAAGGAAATTTCTGGGTAAATATAACCACTTTGAGGTGTATTTTTGGACGTTATAAAATTTTGTCTTTTGCATACTCTGTTGTTCACCAAAGTTCCCTCTCCTTGCTTAACAATAACTTTGCACAAAAGGAGAAAGCTCTTTCATGAACGCCATGGACAAAATCTGAAGTATATCAGCTTGAAAGAAAACATTGACTAAGTTTCTAATTTAATTCCTCAGATAGAAAAGAAGCAATAGACCACAGATCTGCTAATGTCAGATCAACAAGAGCCTTACCCACTTTTTTGTTGCTTTTCTTTTTTCCCTTAAGTTGGACTTCACAGGTTTGCCAGAGCAGCTCTCTATGCAGCAAGGCCTGGTGCCATCCCTCCATTAGGGAACATGGCACTTGGATCCCTCACCTTCCACCTGGCTGCATAAAATAAAATTTCCTTCACTGAAATTACAATAAAGAACCTATGGAAACTAACAAGAGCCTTTCTTACACTTCATTGGATGGTCAAAAATCAAGCCCTAAATTAAAAGCCACTAACCTCTCTTACTTGCCTAGAATATTTGGCTACAGATGGTTTTCTTTTCACATGTAGACATCAACTACCTTAAGAAGTGCATTCTAAGAAAGTCAGTTGCCTACATTCACATGCCCTCCAAAGGAACTGAATTAAAATATTTATACCTAAGGAAAAAGTTCTAAGGTTTCTTCTTGTAACAATTCAATAAAACAGCTCTATTATAATATCTGGAAGATTTAGACTTTTGTCTTGTATCCCTGGAAATGGATAGCTCCAACCTTTGAAAGAAATTGCAGTATGAATGTTGGTTTTACTCTGGAGTTGTGTCTGAGCAGACTATTAGCAGAATACTGATAAATGTTACAATAGCTATTCTTTTTCCTCCCCTTCTGCTTTTATGCCACTGCCAATACCTGCCCTTCCCCTGGTGCTTTCAGCTGATGCCTGTCTCATAACTCGCCAGCTAACAGCATTAGAAGAAAAAGAAATTAAGCTCAAATAAAACTGCCAGGTAGAATTCAACATTACGAGATTACGACTGAATTGTTTTCAGAAGCAGGCACATATATGCACAGTTACAACACTAATGACCTACAAAGGACTTACACGATAAAGGTTAATCACTATAAAGATATATATATATATATATATAAATATATATATATATTTTAATTTTATTTAAAATATATTTTTTTTATTTTTTTTTATTTTTTTTAAGGGTAAATATATTGAAGCTGATTATTTTTCCTCTTCTGGTAGTTCTACAGTGTTTAATGGCAATAATTAACTTTGTCTTCTCCATACCTTTCCCAAGGTCCACATTTGTAGCATCCTA